AAAACTTATTGGGACCTGAACCCTATACAATTTCTATTAAGGCAGGTTCCAAAAAAGAACCCAGGTGACCAGAGCAGTGGCCATTTTAAAGGGGTTTTTTTCCGACCCCCGAACCCTATACAATTTCTATAAACCTAGATTGCTGGCGGGGTCCAGGGCGAGGAGTCCTAGCGGGGGGCTCGGGGGGCAGCGCCCCCCGAAACGGTGGCGTCAATTTGTATTTTCTTGGGGACCCCCTTCCAAAACTAAAAACATAATTCCAAAAAACAAAACTTCTCGGCTGTCCTCTTTGGAGGTTGCCCGGTGAAAAAAAAACGTTATTGGGACCTGAACCCTATACAATTTCTATTAAGGCAGGTTCCAAAAAAGAACCCAGGTGACCAGAGCAGTGGCCATTTTAAAGGGGTTTTTTTCCGACCCCCGAACCCTATACAATTTCTATAAACCTAGATTGCTGGCGGGGTCCAGGGCGAGGAGTCCTGGCGGGGGGCTCGGGGGGCAGCGCCCCCCGAAACGGTGGCGTCAATTTGTATTTTCTTGGGGACCCCCTTCCAAAACTAAAAACATAATTCCAAAAAACAAAACTTCTCGGCTGTCCTCTTTGGAGGTTGCCCGGTGAAAAAAAAACGTTATTGGGACCTGAACCCTATACAATTTCTATTAAGGCAGGTTCCAAAAAAGAACCCAGGTGACCAGAGCAGTGGCCATTTTAAAGGGGTTTTTTTCCGACCCCCGAACCCTATACAATTTCTATAAACCTAGATTGCTGGCGGGGTCCAGGGCGAGGAGTCCTGGCGGGGGGCTCGGGGGGCAGCGCCCCCCGAAACGGTGGCGTCAATTTGTATTTTCTTGGGGACCCCCTTCCAAAACTAAAAACATAATTCCAAAAAACAAAACTTCTCGGCTGTCCTCTTTGGAGGTTGCCCGGTGAAAAAAAACTTATTGGGACCTGAACCCTATACAATTTCTATTAAGGCAGGTTCCAAAAAAGAACCCAGGTGACCAGAGCAGTGGCCATTTTAAAGGGGTTTTTTTCCGACCCCCGAACCCTATACAATTTCTATAAACCTGGATTGCTGGCGGGGTCCAGGGCGAGGAGTCCTGGCGGGGGGCTCGGGGGGCAGCGCCCCCCGAAACGGTGGCGTCATTTGTATTTTCTTGGGGACCCCCTTCCAAAACTAAAAACATAGTTCCAAAAAACAAAACTTCTCGGCTGTCCTCTTTGGAGGTTGCCTGGTGAAAAAAAACGTTATTGGGACCTGAACCCTATACAATTTCTATTAAGGCAGGTTCCAAAAAAGAACCCAGGTGACCAGAGCAGTGGCCATTTTAAAGGGGTTTTTTCCGACCCCCGAACCCTATACAATTTCTATAAACCTAGATTGCTGGCGGGGTCCAGGGCGAGGAGTCCTGGCGGGGGGCTCGGGGGGCAGCGCCCCCCGAAACGGTGGCGTCAATTTGTATTTTCTTGGGGACCCCCTTCCAAAACTAAAAACATAATTCCAAAAAACAAAACTTCTCGGCTGTCCTCTTTGGAGGTTGCCCGGTGAAAAAAAACGTTATTGGGACCTGAACCCTATACAATTTCTATAAACCCTAAACCCTAAACCCTAAACCCTAAACCCTAAACCCTAAACCCTAAACCCTAAACGTTTAGGGTTTAGGGTTTAGGGTTTAGGGTTTAGGGTTTAGGGTTTATAGAAATTGTATAGGGTTTGGGTCCCAAAAACTCCTTTGGCACCGGCCAACCTTTTCTTCATAGATTGAGATAAAAAGGTTGGCCGATAGTCACTAAACTCATGGGGCAGCTTCTTTTCACCGGCCAACCTTTTGCTCTTGTTTTAGTACAGCAAGGTTGGCCGGTGCCAAAAACGCGCTTTTTCACCGGCCAACCTGTTCTCTTTAAAAAAAGAGCAAAAGGTTGGCCGGTGAAAGTAGCTGACACAAGGTTGGCCGGTGAAAAAAACGTGCTTTTTCACCGGCCAACCCGCCCTGCTCTCTTCAAAAAGAGCAGAAAAGGTTGGCCGGTGAAAAAAAACGTGTTTTTTCACCGGCCAACCCGCCCTGCTCTCTTCAAAAAGAGCAGAAAAGGTTGGCCGGCGAAAGAGGCTGACTCATGAGCCAGGGCTGAATTTGGAGCTTTAGTTAGGGCCCGGGCTTGACTTGGGGGCGCCCCAGGCTATTTTGGAACCTGATTTGAGGTAATTTGGGGTGACCTAGTTCTTCTGCACCTTAATTTCGAATTCAATTTGGGGCCTACTGAGGCTTAAATTGGAGCTTAATTTAGAACTTCATTTGAGGTCCCGACGAAGCCTAGTTTGGAGCATCATTTGGGCCTTCTGCTCCTTGATTTGAGGCTCCGGGGAGTTGGGCCTCCGGGGCCTGAATTGGCGCTTCCCGGAATTTCGTTTGGGTCCTAATTTGGGTCCTAATTTTTCTGTGCCTTCTGGAGCTTCTCTTGAAGCCTAATTTAGGATCTTTCAAACTTCATTTGGGGCTTGGGGCTTGTTGATTTGGAACCTGATTTGGGGCTTCCTGTTTGCCGGGGTGTAAGTTGAGCAGGGCCTGATTTAAGCCTCCAGAAGTTTGTGCCGGAAAGGCGGGAGGGTTTTGGAGGTGTTTGGGGGGGAGAAGTCTGCGGGGGTTTGAGTTTTGGCTTTGGGGCCTGCTCTTGATTGAAGTTTTGGTCAACAGTACGGCGGGCACTGTTGACTACAGGCGAACTAATTTTTCTCCATGTGAAAGTCAGCGACCGTGCTTCTGCGTAACCAGTCCATGAACCTGTACAAGAGCATGCAAATTGGCCTGGGCCAGTGCTCGGCTGCACTGTGAGTCACGTGCCACAAGCGTTCGGGAAGCAAGGATCAGAAAGGGACCACGGCGTAGGTTGTGTAAATTTGCACGGTATGTTGCATGTTCCCTATCAAGGCAGGCCCCCTCCGGAAAGCATCTAGCAAGTACACTCTGTCTTCAAAAGATTTCAGAGCAGTCCAATAATCGTAGAAACGGGAATTCTCTGTGGTGCTGCGGATCTGCAGCAGGCTTATGGCTCCTGTTGGCCAGGCGCTGTATTCGCGCAAGAGTTGCAACTTGAAGCCAAGCCTCTCCAACATGTTGCCTACACACAGCGGCGAGAATATCACACCGTTGCGTATAGAGTCCCACTCGTGGACATACTCTTCTTGCTCAATGGAGTATTCCACTCTGCCAAAAGCATTGTTGATGGAAACCTTGGCACTCTGAAGCTGCTTCGTTTTGAACCTTTTGCGGTCGTCGAAGCTTTCGAAGTACAGAGTATCTCCGGCAAGAGTCAGAAAGCACCACCTTGGTTGGCACAGGTGTGCCGCCCCACTCGAGAGAGGTACTTGAATGCCGGCTTGCAGTATACCTTCTTCCATAGCCCACTTCAAGCCAGACTTACGGAAAGGAGGCCCTGCCGCCATCGATGCCAAGTACTTTGCCTTCAGGGTACGTCGAGCTTTCCACCATTCACGGCGCAAGGCCCTTGCAACAGTGTGCTTGCCACGCCAATGTGTGCGGCACTTGCGCTTCATCTTGACATTGGTGAAGGGCTCCTTCTTGCGATAGTGCACGTACGTCCAATGCAGACGAAAGTCGCGATTGCCTTGGCGCCACCGAGCAGCGGCTTTCAAATACTTTTGACTGCCTTCGCTGATGCCTGGACTGGCAGCAGGGATTGGCCGGCCCATCACGAAATGCTTCAGGCGTTGCTTCTTCTTGTGGAGCCAACTCGTCCGCAACTCGAACTTGCTTTCTTCTCCTGCCCTTGTGCGAAGAAGACACTGCTCGTTAGTAGATAACGCGCAGAGCGAACCCAAGTCAAAGGCAGCTTGGTACACCGGCGACTTGATGCGGCGCCAATGTTTGAGGAGCCTTTGCAAGTTCCCTTTGCCTACACGGGAAGAGAGCGCCCGCTGCAAAGTGTCTACGCAGCACAGCACGCAGCGTGTTCCGGTGGGCTGGGCGGGTCCACCACGCCCGTCCTGCGCAAACAGACACGGTCTGGCTGCGCCGCCCGCAGGATCCTCCAAGCCAGCGCAATACTTCGGCATGGCGGCAAGCTGCAAGCTGCAAGACAACTTCTAGTTACCCGACAATTGCCCCTTGTGATCTAGGTTTCTTACAAGTGGGCACGTGGTATGATCCGTGTGCTGTTGACTTGAGCAAAAGTTCTGCGGCGCGTGCAAGTGGCCTGCTGCTACTCAGTTGGCCCAACATGAACCTAGAAGCTCCGTCGGCTGCTGGATTCCCTCTTCATATAGGTGGAATTGGTCATTTCTTGAAGCTGGGACCTTCATATAGGTGGAATTGGTCATTTCCTGAAGCTGGGACCTTCATATCGGTGGAATTGGTCATTTCCTGAGGCTGGGACTTTCATATAGGTGGAATTGGTCATTTCCTGAGGCTGGGACCTTCATATAGGTGGGATCGGTCATTTCCTGAGGCTGGGACCTTCATATAGGCGGAATTGGTCAATTCCTGATGCTGGACCTTCATTTAGGTGGAATTGGTCATTTCCTGAGGCTGGGACCTTCATATAGGCAGAATTAATCATTTCCTGAAACTGGGACCTTCATAGGTGGAATTGGTCATTTCCTGAGGCTGGGACCTTCATATAGGTGGAACTGGTCATTTCCTGAGGCTGGGACCTTCATACAGGTGGAATTGGTCATTTCCTGAGGTTGGGACCTTCAGAAAGGTGGAATTGGTCATTTCCTGAGGCTGGGACCTTCATATAGGTGGAATTGGTCATTTCTTGAAGCTGGGACCTTCCTCTAGGTGGAATTGATCATTTGCTGAAGCTGGGACCTTCATATCGGTGGAATTGGTCATTTCCTGAGGCTGGGACTTTCATATAAGTGGAATTTGTCATTTCCTGAGGCTGGGACCTTCATATAAGTGGAATTGGTCATTTCCTGAGGCTGGGACCTTCATATAGCTAGAATTGGTTATTTCCTGAGGCTGGGACCTTCATATAGGCAGACTTGGTCATTTCGTGAGGCTGGGACTTTCATATAGGTGGAATTGGTCATTTACTGAGGTTGGGACCTTCATATAGGCGGAATTGGTCATTTCCTGAAGCTGGGACCTTCATATAGGTGGAATTGGTCATTTCCTGAGGCTGGGACCTTCATATAGGTGGAATTGGTCATGTCCTGAGGCTGGTGGAATTGGTCATTTCCTGAGGCTGGGACCTTCATGTAGGCCGAATTGGTCATTTCCTGAGGCTGGGACCTTCATATAGGCGGAATTGGTCATTTCCTGAGGCTGGGACTTTCATATAAGTGGAATTGGTCATTTCCTGAGGCTGGGACCTTCATATAGGTGGAATTGGTCATTTCCTGAAGCTGGGACCTTCATATATGTGGAATTGGTCATTTCCTGAGGCTGGGACTTTTATATAGGTGGATTTGTTCATTTTCTGAGGCTGGGACCTTCAGATAATATAGGTGGCATTGGTCATTTCCTGACGCTGGGACCTTCATATAGGTGGAATTGGTCATTTCCTGAGGCTGGGACCTTCATTGGTTATTTCCTGAGGCTGGGACCTTCATATAGGTGGAATTGGTCATTTCCTGAGGCTGGGACCTTCATATAGGTGGAATTGGTCATTTTTTGAGCCTGGGAGGTCATTTCCTGAGGCTGGGACCTTCATATAGGTGGAATTGGTCATTTCCTGGGACCTTCATAGGTGGAATTGGTCATTTCCTGAGGCTGGGACCTTCATATAGGTGGAATTGGTCATTTCCTGAGGCTGGGGCCTTCATATAGGTCATTCCCTGAGGTTGGGACGTTCATATAGGTGGAATTGGTCATTTCCTGAGGCTGAGACCTTCATCTAGGTGGAACTGGTCATTTCCTGTCATCTAGGTGGAACTGGTCATTTCCTGAGGTGGGGCCTTCATATAGGTGGAATTGGTCATTTCCTGAGGCTGGGACCTTCATATAGGTGGAATTGGTCATTTCCTGAGGCTGGGGACCTTCATATAGGTGGAATTGGTCATTTCCTGAAGCTGGGACCTTCATATCGGTGGAATTGGTCATTTCCTGAAGCTGGGACCTTCATATCCGTGGAATAGTTGCATTTCCTGAGGCTGGGACCTTCATATAGGTGGATTTGGTCATTTCCTGACGCTGGGACCTTCAGATAATATAGGTGGCGTTGGTCATTTCCTGAGGCTGCGACCTTCATATAGGTGGAATTGGTCATTTCCTGAGGCTGGGACCTTCATATAGGTGGAATTGGTCATTTCCTGAGGCTGGGTCCAAACCTGGAAACCTGCACGTTTTGGGAACCTGGAAACCTGCACGTTTTGGGGGTCCAAACCTGGAAACCTGCACGTTTTGGGGGTCCAAACCTGGAAACCTGCACGTTTTGGGGGTCCAAACCTGGAAACCTGCACGTTTTGGGGGTCCAAACCTGGAAACCTGCACGTTTTGGGGGTCCAAACCTGGAAACCTGCACGTTTTGGGGGTCCAAACCTGGAAACCTGCACGTTTTGGGGGTCCAAACCTGGAAACCTGCACGTTTTGGGGTCCAAACCTGGAAACCTGCACGTTTTGGGGGTCCAAACCTGGAAACCTGCACGTTTTGGGGGGTCCAAACCTGGAAACCTGCACGTTTTGGGGGTCCAAACCTGGAAACCTGCACGTTTTGGGGGTCCAAACCTGGAAACCTGCACGTTTGGGGGTCCAAACCTGGAAACCTGCACGTTTTGGGGGTCCAAACCTGGAAACCTGCACGTTTTGGGGGTCCAAACCGGGAAACCTGCACGTTTTGGGGGGTCCAAACCTGGAAACCTGTACGTTTTGGGGGTCCAAACCTGGAAACCTGCACGTTTTGGGGGTCCAGAAACCTGCACGTTTTGGGTGTCCAAACCTGGAAACCTGCACGTTTTGGGGGGTCCAAACCTGGAAACCTGCACGTTTTGGGGGTCCAGAAACCTGCACGTTTTGGGGGTCCAAACCTGGAAACCTGCACGTTTTGGGAAACCTGCACGTTTTGGGGGTCCAAACCTGGAAACCTGCACGTTTTGGGGGTCCAAAGCTGGAAACCTGCACGTTTTGGGGGTCCAAACCTGGAAACCTGCACGTTTTGGGGGGTCCAAACCTGGAAACCTGCACGTTTTGGGGGTCCAAACCTGGAAACCTGCACGTTTTGGGGGGTCCAAACCTGGAAACCTGTGCACGTTTTGGGGGTCCAAACCTGGAAACCTGCACGTTTTGAGGGTCCAAACCTGGAAACCTGCACGTTTGGGGGGTCCAAACCTGACGTTTGGCGAGCCCCGGCCTTGAAAGGTGATTTAAGGTCTGGGTGGTTTTTGGGGTGGGATCGACAGCCGGCCGCGCGTATGTTGGTGCCTTTTTTCTTTTCGGCACCAACATACAACTCAAGCGACACCCTAAACCCTAAACCCTAAACCCTAAACCCTAAACCCTAAACCCTAAACCCTAAACCCTAAACCCTAAACCCTAAACCCTAAACCCTAAACCCTAAACCCCTAAACCCTAAACCCTAAACCCTAAACCCTAAACCCTAAACCCTAAACCCTAAACCCTAAACCTTAAACCCTAAACCCTAAACCCTAAACCCTAAACCCTAAACCCTAAACCCTAAACCCTCAAGACAAAATAAATAGAAATTGTATGTGGTATCAATCTGAATTTTCCAAGATATTTGTCTAAACAGCTGACAAACAGAGTTTAAGTAAATTAATCCAAAGCGGGAGGCCGGGAGGCCAAATGTTCAATTTACTTAAACCTCTGGGGCCTTCCCGGGCCCCGACAAACCAAAGCCCAAATCGCCTCCCAAAGCCCAAAATTGGCTTCCCAAAGCCCAAAATTGGCTTCCCAAAACCGAAAATTGGCTCCCAAGCCCCAGCAGGGCAGCAGCTCCTGCCCCAGCCCCAGCCCCAGCCCCAGCCCCCGCCCCCCAGCCAGCCCCAGCCAGCCCCAGCCAGCCCCAGCCCCACTCTCCAGCCCCAGCCCCCAGCCCCAGCCCAGCCCCCCAGCCCCAGGCCCCAGCCCCAGCCCCAGCAGCCCCAGGCTTAGCGGCCCCAGCCCCAGCCCCCAGCCCCAGCCCCAGCCCCAGCCCGCCCCAGCCCCAAAAATGAAAAGGTGGTTCCAAAAAAAAAAGTTTCGGTCAAAACGTTTCGGTCAAAACGTTTCGGTCAAAACGTTTCGGTCAAAACGTTTCGGTCAAAACGTTTCGGTCAAAACGTTTCGGTCAAAACGTTTCGGTCAAAACGTTATTGGGACCCAAACCCTATACAATTTCTATAAACCCTAAACCCTAAACCCTAAACCCTAAACCCTAAACCCTAAACCCTAAACCCTAAACCCTAAACCCTAAACCCTAAACCCTAAACCCGCGATCCCTGTCTAGGGATCGCGGAAAGGTTGTGGAGTGTACACGACACAACAAAGACAACTTACTTTACAGGACACTAAACGTTAAAGTCGGCTTGCACTTGCGGACCTTGCCCTGACACAAAGAGAACCCCAAACCCTGGCTGACAGTCCCTAACCCAAAACTCAACGTTTGGGTTTGGGGGGTCCAAACCTGGAAACCTGCACGTTTTGGGGGGTCCAAACCTGGAAACCTGCACGTTTCAGGGGGTCCTAACCTGGAAATCTGCACGTTTTGGGTGTCCAAACCTGGAAACCTGCACGTTTTGGGGGGTCTAAACCTGGAAACCTGCACGTTTTGGGGGTCCAAACCTGGAAACCTGCACGTTTTGGCGGGTCCAAACCTGGAAGCCTGCACGTTTTGGGGTGTCCAAACCTGGAAACCTGCACGTTTTGGGGAACTTGCACGTTTTGGGGGTCCAAACCTGGAAACCTGCACGTTTTGGGGGGTCCAAACCTGGAAACCTGCACGTTTTGGGGGGTGCAAACCTGGAAACCTGCACGTTTTGGGGGGGTCCAAACCTGGAAACCTGCACGTTTTGGGGGGTCCAAACCTGGAAACCTACATGTTTTGGGGGGTCCAACTCTGGAAACCTGCACGTTTTGGGGGGTCTAAACCTGGAAACCTGCACGTTTTGGGGCC